GCGTTGCAGAGTGTTGATGTTGCAATGCTTTTTCTCACTTTTGGAGAAAGCCTGGTTTCATTGGCGTTGGTCGATTGGGAAGCAAGCGGTGTCCAGCACACCACAATATCTTAGTGCAAATGATACAACCTATGAAATTTGGATCTGCCTTTGCACTGCGATGTCACGATGCACCTGATATTGTAGTGCAGCCGTCCCCAACCTTTGTGGCTTGGTGGCCCAGCTGTGCAAGAGTCAGACTGGTGCATGCGTGCAAATTCAAATTACGCAAGTGGCGGGCTGGCCCGCTCTCACATAGGCCAGTTTTAAATATGTTGACACCCAGTAGTGGGACCTCTACTGTAGTGGTTTCTCCTGAGCATCAGTGTCAGATTCTTCCACTTGGAATCCACGATGTAAATTAATATCTAAAGCTGTTTTAGCCAAGTTAAAGACCTCACTTTGATGATAAAACTGGACCAGGGTAGAAGCTATCTACGTACAATGCTGCCTTACTACACAACTGCTTTGAAACTCATCAAATTTGGTACTCAACCCATTCTGATGTGAAAATTTTATCCCGGTACTCATTGTTTGTTTGGTACTCAACGCTCAAGCTAGAACTTGTGCGTTACTCAGTACTTTATACCTTATGGGAAAAAATTATTTGGTACTCATCGTTTTCGGTACTAAATGCGCCTCCCGGAACCGATGAGTACCGAGGTATCACTGTATGTTAATTTTTACATAAAACTGTATGAATTGAACTGCAGTTTGCTACAGCCAAGTTGGAGATCTGAGCTAGAGGACAACGCTTGATAGAGGCAGGAAGTGTCTACAGAAGCTTAATTTACAAATATATCTGAATCCCTCATTTGACTCCCAAGGAATTGCCCCGAATCTCCTTAAAAAGAATTCTTGATACTCATGCAAAAACTATTTTAGCCAGGGGTAAAACTCATGGTTTGTGTGTGGCCTGGTCTTATAGACTGGCCTGGTTGACAAAACACAGCAACTTGGTGGTTTGACAAGGGTTGATCAAGTCAGCTACAATTGGGTAGGTTTGTGCAAATTGCTAAATCACAAACCATGGTTTACAAAATAAAATTGCCAAGTTTACCCAACACATGATGCTGGGATCAATCTAGCCTCATCACGGCTTTAACATGGCTTGTGTGCATTGGACAGTAAGCAGGACGCTCTGGGGGGGTGGGGTTTACACGGGAAATGAAGTTCAATGCGATTGGTCTATTTGGCAAGACACAAGGAGGACTAAATACCAGCTGAACCCCTCAATTGTTGATTGGTTGTGTTCTAGCTTTGTTTACTAGGCTACGCATCCACAATCTTAGCTATCAAACTCCTGGGTGTGAACCAAGATGCTCTACTTCAGTGGTTCTCAACCTTTTTAATGCCGCGACCCCCAACCGGTCGTAAGTCGAGGACTACCCAACTGGTGCAGCACCGTTTGCAGAATGGGACTTTTGGCGGGCTCAGCAGGGCAGAGACAGCCTGGACAATTCCTATTGGCTTTTGAAAGCCAATAGAATTAGACTCTATTCAAGAGAGTCTATTCTATTGGCTTTTGAAAGCCAATAGAATAAAAGGGAGTAGCACAGCTAAGGAAAAGGGGGAAAAAATGGCGGACTGCGTTGTTTGGCGACCCCCGTGAAATGGTCGTTCGACCCCAAACGGGGTCCCGACCCACAGGTTGAGAACCGCTGCTCTACTTCAATTGCAATTCATCCAGATAATGTCCACTCTGCCGTTATTAGGATTCAAAAACCATACTAAAGTTATTAATAATAGCTATCCATTAAGACATTTCTCTTGAGCAGAATTCAAGCATTCCTTAATGCTCCGACACCTCCTTTCTTTCCAAAATGCTCAGATTGTCCAAACTTTTTGTGGCAAACGATTTCCCAATGAGCTATCTTTCCCCCGTGCATTTCAACATTACAGTTCAGAAATCAACACAGTGGGACTCCCTATTGATTTTTAGTCACTCATCCTCGGAATGCTTTTTCCAAACTCTCCTTTAAAAAAAAACCAAAAATCACCAGATTTCCGATACAGATACTTGGAAGAGAAGAGGAAGAAGGATCTCAAGAAAAAGAATGTCCCTGGAAGATCAGAAGATTCGACAGACTCTTCCCGGCTTCACTTTGAGCAAGTCAAGGAGTTTAAGATAGGAATAAAAAGCCGGACAAACGTGGTCCAACTCCTTGGGGTGGTAGAAAACTGGGATTGTGCTTATTTATTGTCCATGGTCTATCAGAAAGACTCAATTATAAGTGGCAGTGAGTTCACTGTTAGAAGTTCTAAAAAGCCACCACAGGGACAGATCGTCCTGAAAGTGACCTATATGGTCACTAAGAGTAATTTACAATTGATGGCACACAGTCAGACTTATCTTCCAACCAGTTTCTGTTCAATAGAAGAAACTATCAGTAACCAGGTTAAAAGTCTACAAAGCTCATCCAGAAGTTTAAATATCCTTCTTGTCATGAATATACACCAAAAAAAGCCCTTTTGGCTGCTATCTGGTTATTAAGAGATGGCCAATGGCTACATGATCGAATTGATGATATCTGTGTTCATACCGCATGCTAAGCCACGATTTGCTTCACCACAGTCCACTGAACAAGCTACAATCGGCCAGGTTCACATCTCATGCTAAGCCATAAACCTTAGTTAACAAACCACAGAGGCTAGGTTCATAGAAACGCTACACAAACCCACCCACCCCCATTGTGGCTTACAGAGGCGTCACCTGAAGTCATTATATTGGGATTGAAGATCCCCCAATTTCCAGTGCTTGGTTGAGGAAAGCTGGCTTAGGGCAGGGCTGTCCAACCTTGGCCATTTTAAGATGTGAGGACTTCAGCTCCCAGAATTCCTCAGGTCCCAGAATTCCTCAGCCAACAGGACTGGCTGGGGAATTCTGGACATTGAAGTCCATTGCTTTCAAAGTTGGCAAGGTTGGATACTCCTGACTTAAAGTGATGAGCAACCCAGCCCCATATTTCATGGGCGTCTTCGGTGGTGACCTATGGACAGGGCCAGGACAACAGGCTTTATGAGGAGGAAGAATATTTAAGGAAGAGATTGATCAAAATGATCACTTGCATCCTCCTTTCCGAGGACCGCCACTGAAATCAAAGTGGAAGCAAGTGTTGTCCTAAGATTGTGCTCTGAATAAAGTATCTAGCACCAGCATATCTACACGAAGAAAAAGCCCCATTCTTATTCTCCCCATCTCTTCCCCAATTTCTCTCCTGTTCTCTATTTCGCCCTTTTCCTCAGCTCTCCCTCTCCTCACAAAACTTGATCCCACGTCAGTAAGTGCTGCTCAGGGAAGGTCCTGAATTGAATGAAAACAATACAATGTTTTCTCGCCAATGGAAAGAGAGAATATAGACCCTCTTTCCTTATAGCAGGGGTCTTCAAAACTTGGCCCGTTTATGACTGGTGGACTTCAACTCCCAGAATTCCTCAGCCGGGCACATCCCTGATCTGGATCCGAGCGCGCAGTTTCATCAAAATGGCCGACTGAGGAATTCTGGGAGCTGAAGTCCACCAGTCAAAAAAAAGAGCCAAGTTTGAAGATCCCTGGTCTGGATCCAAGCCCGCAGTTTCATCAGAATGGCCGACTGAGGAATTCTAGCTGTTGACGTCCACCAGTCATCAAAGGGCCAAGATATTTTCCAAGATCTAATCTGGGTCGGTCACCAGGAAACAAAAGTTTAGTCTTCTGTGCTGGAGCCCATCCTCAGGGAACTCTTTGCTGGGATAGATGCTTTGGGCTATTCTATGAGTCATAGTTATGTGGCGCCTTCCTATTGGTTGATTTGTGTGTGGATGGACTGGGAAGCCTGGGAAGCAGGCCCCTTGTCAGTCAATAGGAGTGCTGAAATCAGCGCCAGCTTTTCAGATACTTATGAGCTGAGGGCTTGGCAGAGCACAGAAACAACAGCCAATCACCGGCAATCAACACCCCGATCAACCAATAGGAGGGCACCACATAAATACGAGTCCTGCAAGGCGATCCAACCGGTCGGTCCTAGAGGAGATCAACCCCGACTGCTCTTTAGAAGGCCAGATCCTGAAGTTGAAACTCAAGTCCTTTGGCCACCTAATGAGAAGGAAGGATTCACTGGAGAAGAGCCTGATGCTGGAAAAGATGGAGGGCAAGAGAAGAAGGGGACGATGGAGAACGAGGTGGCTGGATGGAGTCACTGAAGCAGTAGACGTGAGCTTAAATGGATTCCAGACGATGGCAGAGGACAGGAAGACCTGGAGGAACGTTGTCCATGGGGTCGCGATGGGTCGGACATGACTTCGCAACTAACAACAACATAAATATGACTCACAGAATAGCCCAAAGCACCTATTCCACGTAGAGAGAAGTTGCCAGCACAAATCCTGAAGCTTGGGGAGACTCGATGGGATCCTGCGACATTATCCTGGGACACGTAGATTTGCCTTCCGTTGTGAAATATGTTTTCTGCTCACCGTGTTCCAGCCAAACCCCAAACTCAAGGACCACGTCCAAAAAGAAAGTAAAACAAAACAAAACTTAAACAACGCCCCCCCCCCCAAAAAAAACCCAATGCAGTGTTTTGGTGCAGGTTATATAACAACGACATTTCCATCACAAGATAACGGGGCATCAAAAGACAACATTCCTGAAGCGCACATGCTCTGCCAGCCTCCGTACGAAACAGCTAAGGAACCCCTAATGCATTTCTACTTATGCAAGAGGTGTGTATATATATATATATATATATATATATATATATATATATATATATATATATATATATACACCTCTTGCATAGAGGTGTCTTGGCGACGTTTTGACGAAGTCCCATTCATCATCTTCAGGCTGTGTTTTCGGCTTCGTGCTTCTAGGAGCAATGTGTGATTGTAGCTGTTAAAAGGAAGAAACAGCTATGATCACACATTGCTCCTAGAAGCACGAAGCCGAAAACACCAGCCTGAAGATGACGAATGGGACTTTGTCGAAATGTCGCCAAGACACTTCCAATCTGACGCGGGAGAAAACCCGAATAACCAAAGACCTACATATATCTATATCTATATCTATATATAGATACAGCCCTTTTCAGAAGTAGGATTTGGAAGGCCAACATTAGGATACTAAGTACCTCCATTTTTTCACAACTATCTCTTTCCTGCCGGGCCTTCAAGCCGTGTTTCCGTTGCGTGTCGGCCCACGCAGAAGGATTCTCGCATCCTTTCCTACACTTAGATATTTTAACCATCAAATCATCATTGTCGCCGCCGTTGCCTTCTTCTTCCTCTTCTTGTCCTCCTCCTCGTCCTCCTCTTTTCTTTTCTTTTCTTTTTAATTTAATTAAATAATCTGCGAATGTGCTTGCAGGCTTTCTTCAAAAAAAAAAGAACAACAACAAAAAAAAAACCCAAAACTCAAATGGCTCAGAAGGCAAAACGTTTTGCTGCAAAAGGGCCCGGTGGCCCCTCCCCGTAAGGACCACGAAGAGAAAGCGGGGGAGGGGGCACCACCAGCCCCCCCCCTCACCCCCATGGCGGTTCATCTCAGCTGTCCAATCCGAGTTGTGTTTCAATGTCCACGCGGCAGATGGGGCATTTCTTGCTGGTTGCCAGCCACTGGTCGACGCACACTTGGTGAAAGAGATGCATGCACGGCAAACGCCTGGAAGAAGAACAAAAGTCCTCGTTACTCAGGTGGGAAATGCCAGAATTAGCCTTTATCAACTGCAATGGCAGGAAATTAAAATAAGACCTGTAAAGGAGAATGTTCGTGGCTCAGGGTTGAAATGAGGGGGGTCTTTGGAGCTCTCTGAACGGGGCTGTTTTCTTGCAGATGTTTCATTATCCAAACTAAGTAACATCAGCAGTCTTTGCTACCCTCCCTTCCTCTCCCCTCTCCACTCTCCACTCTACGCTCTCCCCTCTCGTCCCCTCTCCACTCTATGCTCTCCTCCCCTCCCCTTCTTCATCCATTTATCCCCTTTCCTTTCCTTTCCTCTCCCCTCCTCTCCTCTCCTTCCCTTCCCTTCTTCATCCATTTACTTCCTTTCCCTTCTCTCTAACTTCTTTCCTTCCCTTCCCTTCCCTTTTCTTCCCTTTCCTTTCCTTTCCCTTCCTTTCCTTCTCCTTCCTTCCTCCCTCCCATCTGTTTCCTTCCTTCCACCCTCCCTCCCTCCCTCCCACCCATCTCCCTCCCTCCCTTCCTTCCCTCTCCTTCCTCCCTCCCTCCCTCTCCTTTCTTGATTAGTTCGTTTTTTTCTTTTTTAAATATGTTTTTATTGCAGGGGTCTTCCAACTTGGCCCTTTGATGACTGGTGGACTTCAACTCCCAGAATTCCTCAGTCGGCCATTTTGATGAAACTACGGGCTTGGATCCAAACCAGGGGCCTTCCAACTTGGCTCTTTTATGATTGGTGGACTTCAACTCCCAGAATTCCTCAGTCGGCCATTTTGATGAAACTGCAGGCTTGGATCCTGACCAGGGGTCTTCAAACGTGGCCCTTTGATGACTGGTGGACTTCAACTCCCAGAATTCCTCAGTCGGCCATTTTGATGAAACTGCGGGCTTGGATCCAGACCAGGGGTCTTCAAACCTGGCCCTTTGATGACTGCTTCCTGGCTGAGGAATTCTGGGAGTTGAAGTCCACCAGTCATAAAAGGGCCAAGTTTGAAGACCCCCCGCAATCTAAATGGTTAAACAATTGGTAAGCTTTGGTTTAGAAATGTGTTGCTTATTTGATTGTGTCAATGCTGTCAAGCTAAAAAAATGTTGTACTTTTTGAATATTCGAACAGAGAATAGACTAGAATGTTTGTTATTAGTTTAACACTATGTTGTTATTGTCGATGTTGTTTTTAACGCTATACTTCAAAAGCACAAAACGTATTAAATATTAATATTAAATACTTCAATATTAACTGAATTGTTCAGTCAAAAAAAGAGGTATACAAGGGGTTTTTTTCCCTTTGGATGACCCTGTAATCCTTTCATTTGGGATAGAGCTGAGGGTTTACTAGCCGGATGCCCTTCCTGATACCTACACAAAGTTCACAGGAGATATTTTTTTTTCTCTTTGGGTCCTGAGAGAGAAAAACATCTCTCATTGACTAGGATAGTGGTGGGATTCAGCCAGTTCACACCAGTTCAGCAGAACCGGTAGCTAATTTTTTGTTGCCCAGGCCCAGAATGGACTTCCAGAAGCGGCATCCATGTAGAGAACCAGTTGTTCACACATTTGAATTCCACCACTGGATGGATGGATAGATAGATAGATAGATAGATAGATAGATAGATAGATAGATAGATAGATAGATAGATAGATAGATAGATAGATAGATAGGTAGGTAGGTAGGTAGGTAGATAGGTAGATAGATGAATAATATAGATTAGATAGATAGATAGATGATAGATAGATAGATAGATAGATAGATAGATAGATAGATAGATAGATGAATAATAGATAGATAGATATAGATGAATAATAGATAGATAGATTAGATAGCTAGATTATAGCTAGCTAGCTAGCTAGCTAGCTAGATAGATAGATAGATAGATAGATAGATAGATAGATAGATAGATAGATAGACAGATAGATATTTGTTTTTTGAGGTTTTCGTGGGTGTTTGTATGTAGGTCTTTGATTATTCGGGTTTTCTCCCGTGTCAAATTGGAAGTGTCTTGGCGACGTTTCGATGAAGTCTCATTCATCATCTTCAGGCTGGTGTTTTCAGCTTCGTGCTTCTAGGAGCAATGTGTGATCATAGCTGTTTCTTCCTTTTAACTGCCAGTGGGGGTATGAACTGATTGGATGAGAGCTTGGCTGTGTTCTGATTGTATGGAGGTGTGTTCTGATTGGTTAGGAGCTTGGCTGTACTCTGATTGGATGGGGGGGTGGCCGTGCTCTGATTGGAAGTGAAACAATAGCAATGCAGCTCACCATCCCACATCCCCGTGCAACTCAGACTAACCTGAGCACAAAAAAGCCCCCACCCAAACAGAACACACCCCCAACCAATCAGAGCACAGCCAACCCCCCATCCAATCAGAGTACAGCCAAGCTCCTAACCAATCAGAACACACCTCCATCCAATCAGAATACAGCCAGGCTCTCATCCAATCAGTTCATACCCCCACTGGCAGTTAAAAGGAAGAAACAGCTACGATCACACATTGCTCCTAGAAGCACGAAGCCGAAAACACCAGCCTGAAGATGACGGATGAAAGTTCGTCGAAACGTTGCCAAGACACTTCCAATTTGACACGGGAGGAAACCCGAATAACCAAAGACTTACATAGGTAGATATACATACAGATAGATAGATAGATAGATAGATAGATAGATAGATAGATAGATAGATAGATACATACATACATACATACATACATACATACATACATACATACATACATACAGGAGTGAGATTCAGCCGATTCGCACCACTTTGGCAGAACCGGTAGCTAATTTTTTGTTGCCCAGGCCCAGAATGGACTTCCGGAAGTGGCATCCATGTAGAGAACCGGTTGTTCATACATTTGAATCCCACCACTGGATGGATGGATAGATAGATAGATAGATAGATAGATAGATAGATAGATAGATAGATAGATAGATAGATAGATAGATAGACAGACAGATGAATAATTAATAGATAGATAGATAGATAGATAGATAGATAGATAGATAGATAGATAGATAGATAGATAGACAAGTGGGATTGAGGCAATTCGCACCACTTCGGCAAAACCAGTAGCTAATTTTTTCTTGCCCAGGCCCAAACTAAGACATTTGATGTACAAGAATTCCCGTCAGAGTCGCGATACCTCACATCCTCGCCATCTTCAAGCACTGAAAGACAGATGGTGCATTTCTCTTCCGTATCTGACTCTTCTCCTTCTTTTTCTGTTTTGTCCTCCTGCGGCCATCGCTGTCGGCAAAGTCACCAAAGCAAAAAAACCCCAAAAAAAACAAAAACAAAAAAAGCCCAGCGTCACAACAGATGCTACTCAAATGCCAGTAAGAATGGAGAAGTTCATAGCTGTGGTCCAGAAATATTGGAAAGAATTTCCACTGGGAATTAGAGAGAGGGATAGGAACCAGCTCTAATTCACAATTCGACCCATTTCTTTGGGGAACGACGGTTAATGGATACACCTTGTCTTCCCCCCCCGCCCCCTCCCGCCCCCGCTGAGAAGCATCCTCAGTGCACACTTTCATTGGTTCCCTCATAAGGGCATCCGCTGAGTCTCCGGAAGGCTGCATTTTTAAGAGAACATTGATCTTAAGAAGGTTTTTATTATTATTATTATTGCCCTCTGGTCTGTGCACGCTGTTAGCTTTCCCTGACTTTCGAAATAGCCCAGTTTTTCAGATTTCGTCACAAGGAACAAACAGAGAAATCAAAGCAAGCCTTGTTTTTCTCTCTCCTTCAGCATTCAGGGGTAGAATGGATAGACAGACGGGCAGACAGTTGGAGAGAAGGAAGGACAGTTGGATGTATAGCTAGATGGATGGATCGATGGATGGATGGAGGGAGGGAGGGAGGGAAGGAAGGAAGGAAGGAAAGAAAGAAAGAAGGAAGAAGGAAGAAGAATGAGTGTGAGGAAGGAAGGAAGGGAGGAAGGAAAGAAGGGAGGAAGGAGAATGAATGTAAGGAAGGAAGGAAGAAGAATGGAAGGAAGGAAGGAAGGAAGGAAGGAAAGAAGGAAGGAAGGAAGGGAGGAAGGGAGGAGGGAGAATGAGTGTGAGGAAGGAAGGAAGGAAGGAAGGAAGGAGAATGAGTGTGAGGAAGGAAGGAAGGAAGGAAGAAGAATGAGAGGAAGGAAGGAAGGAAGAAGAATGAGTGTGAGGAAGGAGGGAAGGAAGGAAGAAGAATGAGTGTAAGGAAGGAAGGAAGGAAGGAAGAAGAATGAGGGAGGAAGGAAGGAAGGAAGGAAGAAGAATGAGAGGAAGGAAGGAAGGAAGAAGAATGAGTGTAAGGAAGGAAGGAAGAAGAATGAGTGTGAGGAAGGAGGGAAGGAAGGAAGAAGAATGAGTGTAAGGAAGGAAGGAAGGAAGGAAGAAGAATGAGTGTAAGGAAGGAAGGAAGAAGAATGAGTGTGAGGAAGGAGGGAAGGAAGGAAGAAGAATGAGTGTGAGGAAGGAGGGAAGGAAGGAAGAAGAATGAGTGTAAGGAAGGAAGGAAGGAAGGAAGAAGAATGAGTGTAAGGAAGGAAGGAAGAAGAATGAGTGTGAGGAAGGAGGGAAGGAAGGAAGAAGAATGAGAGGAAGCAAGGAAGGAAGGAAAGAAGGAGGAAGAAGAATGAGGGAGGGAGGAAGGAAGGAAGAAGAATGAGAGGAAGCAAGGAAGGAACGTGCGAGAATACATCAGAAGCGTTCCAGGGCTGCGGGGTATAGAAAAGGTTGTGAACCGCTGATCTAACTCAGTGCTTACCTTCTTGTATTTGTGTGGGAAAGTGAACCGTTCAATGGTGTTTTGCACAGCTCCCCTACTCACACTTCCCAGCCGGTCTTCTAGTTGTAACAACTCCTAGATCAGAAAAGGCAAAGAGCTTCAGAGAGCTTCTGTCTACCATAGACTGGTTTTAGCCAGCTGTTTCTGTAGCTTTTCCATCTGACCCTCCCAAAAATAAGTTTCCTTTTTTTTTTTAATAAAAAGCCCATTAAGGAGAAAAAATATGCTCTTCATCAGAAATGCAATTATTTTGTGCAGACTTCCTGGCTCGTCCCAAAGTTACGTTATCTTTTTTTTAAAAAACACATTTTATTGGTTTTTTAAAATTCTTAAGAAAAAGTACTCAGGACCCACCATGGTGGTTCGGTGGTCAAACATTCAAAAGTAAAGATATACATAAACAACACAACTCAATAAATTTCACTATCCCCTCTCTATTCCCCTCAATTAACATGATACATTTAAATATTCCATTTCTATTTTAAATTTCTCTCACTATTTAAACCTGTATTATAACTTTATCAGTTTACAATTACAATAGTTTAAATTTAAAACAAGAAATTATCAATTCTAATTCTTAATCTCTTACATCCCTCATTTTATCACCAATCTCATTTATTTCTTCTTCCACTACACAATAGATATCCTAATAGCAATAAAATATTGATCAGCCCTATATTTATGTAATCCCAAAGTCAATCCATGTCTTTAAAATAACGAGATAATATTAAACCTTAATTCATTCAAATTGATTAAACAAAATTCCAGTTACTTATCATGCCTTATCATGTCTTGGTTGTCATACAAGAAATCCATCCTAGTAATTTAAAACATTCCATAAATTATTAAAAACATCCCAATCTAAACAGTCATCATTTTTTCAATTCCAGCGCATAATAATTTTCATATATTTCCCAAATACTACATAAGTACATATATATATATATATATATATATATATATATATATATATATATATATATATATATATATATATATATATATTTGTTTTCTGAGGTTTTTGCGAGTGTTTGTATGTAGGTCTTTGGTTATTCGGGTTTTCTCCCGCGTAAAATTGGAAGTGTCTTGGCGACGCTTCGACAAAGTCCCATTCGTCATCTTCAGGCTGGTGTTTTCAGCTTCGTGCTTCGAGGAGAAATGTGTGGTCTTAGCTGTTTCTTCCTTTTTTTTTTTTTTTTTTTTAGAAAACAGCTAAGACAACACATTGCTCCTCGAAGCACGAAGCTGAAAACACCAGCCTGAAGATGACAAATGGGACTTCGTCGAAACGTCGCCAAGACACTTCCAATTTTACGCGGGAGAAAACCCGAACAACCAAAGACCTACATACAAACACCCGCAAAAACCTCAGAAAACATATTATAAATCTTAATCCTTAAAACAATCCATAAATCCAGTATTGCCTTTTAATCCATTACGTTATCTTGGTCCTCTTCTCCAAGCTGGGTCTTCAGAGATCCACCGAGTAAACCAACAGCTTGGAATTCTGGGAGTTGTAGTCCAACCCTTCAGGGAGATGGTGTATCCAGAGGAGAGGTGTCCAACCATGGCAACTTTAAGACTTGTGGACTTCAAGTCCCGGAATTCTCCAGCCAGCCGTGCTGACTTGGGAATTCTGGGAGTTGAAGTCCACAGGTCTTGAAGTTGGGAGTTGAAGTCCACAGGACTTAAAGTCACCACGGTTGGGCACCTCTCTTCCTTGAAGAAAGAGGTCCTACTAGGAAGTTGGTGAATGGTGAACCTTTGCAAACAAAGAGTCCATGTCTTCGGCTTGCCCCAACATGTCACTGACATGTCACAGACTGGACCGCACAACATGCTCAGCCAGGCACCAGCTCATAGCAAAGGGAGCCTCCAGACACACTTCTTTGACCTCTTCCAAAATTTCTGGGGCCTTCCATGAGTTTCTGAAGAGTTCTTCTGCATGCCCCAGTCTTCTCCTGGATCTGGTCTGGATCTGGACTTTTGCTAGCAAAGGGCTATCAGTCTACAGCAAATATTTGCAAAGGCGGTTTAGGGGTCTTCCCTGTTGCTCTAAGTCATCTGGGTCTCTGGTGGGCAGGGTTCCCAGTGCCAAGGTAAGGAGAGAGTCAGGTGTCTTTGTGTCAGACTGTGTCTCCAACTTCTCCTGCCAATCCATATTTAGCAAAGGGAAGTGAGGTGGCAGGTTCTCCTGCTTGAGCAGGGGGCTGGGCTAGAAGACCTCCAAGGTCCCTTCCAGCTCTGTTCTGTTCTGTTCCATCCACTTCACTCCACTCCACTCCACTCCATTCCATTCCATTCTGTTATTCTATTCTATTCTATTCTGTTCTGTTCTGTTCTGTTCTGTTCTGTTCTACTCTATTCTACTCTACTTTACTCTACTCTATATACTCTATTCTACTCTACTCCACTCCATTCAATTCCATTCCACCTTTTCTCTATTCTATTCTATTCTATTCTATTCTATTCTATTCTATTCTATTCTATTCTATTCTATTCTATACTCTACTCTATTCTATTCTACTCTACTCCACTCCATTCCATTCCATTCCATTCCGTAATTCTATTCTATTCTATTCTATTCTATTCTGCTCTGCTCTGCTCTGCTCTATACTCTACTCTATTCTATTCTACTCTACTCCACTCCATTCCATTCCATTCCATTCTGTAATTCTATTCTATTCTTTTCTGTTCTGTTCTATTCTACTCTACTCTACTTTACTCTACTTTATATTCTACTCAACTCTACTCTACTCCACTCCATTCAATTCAATTCCATTCCACATTTTCTCTATTCTATTCTATTCTATTCTATTCTATTCTATTCTATTCTATTCTATTCTATTCTATTCTATTCTATTCTACTCTATTCTACTCTACTCCACTCCATTCCATTCCATTCTGTAATTCTATTCTATTCTATTCTATTCTATTCTATTCTATTCTATTCTTATTCTATTCTATTCTATTCTATTCTTATTCTATTCTATTCTATTCTATTCCATGTTCTACTCTACTCTACTCCATTCCATTCCATTCTGTAATTCTATTCTATTCTATTCTATTCTATTCTATTCTATTCTATTCTATTCTATTCTATTCTATTCTATTCTATTCTATTCTTATTCTATTCTATTCTATTCTTATTCTATTCTATTCTATTCTATTCCATGTTCTACTCTACTCTACTCCACTCCATTCAATTCAATTCCATTCCACATTTTCTCTATTCTATTCTATTCTATTCTATTCTATTCTATTCTATTCTATTCTATTCTATTCTATTCTATTCTATTCTACTCTACTCTATACTCTACTCTATTCTATTCTACTCTACTCCACTCCATTCCATTCCATTCTGTAATTCTATTCTATTCTATTCTATTCTATTCTATTCTATTCTTATTCTATTCTATTCTATTCTATTCCATGTTCTACTCTACTCTACTCTATTCTATTCCAGATTTCTTTTTTCTCTTTGTTTGATTCTTTCCCATCCAAGACAAAAATAAGGGGGAAAATAACAAACCCTCCTCCTCCTCCTCCTCCTCCTCCTCCCCTCCTCCTCCTCCCCCCCCCTCCTCCTCCTCCTCCTTCTTTTCAGGAATAACACACTAAAGGCAAGGGTGCTGAGCTTGGCCATTTTAAGACCTGTGGACTACAACTCCCAGAATTTCCCAATCGGCCACGTTGGCTGGGGAACTCTGGGAGTTGAAGTCCATGAGTCTCAAAGTGGGCAAAGCTGAACTCCCGTGCAGTCAAACCCTAAAACCTGTCCATGTGGGGCAGTCACCCAACAGATGCCGAAATGCTCTCGGCCACTCACCTCATGACTTTCTCGCACGGCCGAGGGGTGCCGGTTTGGATTCAGTCCCTGAAGAGCAAGCAGCTGAAACTGGGGGTAATTTCTGATCTCGTGGACCACCTGCGAAGCGATGAAGAGACGCAACGGGGAGGGGTCAGCTTCATCAAAGAGCCACTGAAGACGGCTCCTCGCTAAACACCTTGACGGGCTTCCCAAACTGGGCTCTCCCCATTTGGTTGACTCCTCTACCCCCTTCTCATGAGGGTTTGGTGAAAACAAATGTCGTGGCTTCTCCTTCCTCAGTCTGAGGGAAGAAAAGCTCAAGAACTGTGGTGAAACTTTATAATAAAAAAAGCGTTACTTCTTTGTTTGTTTTCCAAAGTCCAGCTCCCTTGGGAAATGTGACAGGTCTAAGCTAGATCAGGACGTTGAAAAGAATGGCCCCTCCCCTCGCGAACAGCAAATCACTTCCAGATTTTATTGAGAAAAACTACACAGAAATATCCCTCAAGTCACTACTCGTTGATGATGGAAGGAAGGAAGGAAGGGAGGGAGGGAGGGAGGGAGGGAGGGAAGGAGGGAGGGAGGAAGGAATGGAGGGAGGGAGGGAGGGAGGAACGGATGGAGGGAGGGAGGGAGGGAAGGAAGGAAGGAAGGGAGGGAGGGAGGAAGGGAGGGAGGAAGGAAGGGAGGGAGGGAGGGAGGGAGGGAGGGAGGAACGGAGGGAGGGAAGGAAGGAAGGGAGGGAGGGAAGAAGGAACGGAGGGAGGAAAGGAAGGAATGGAGGGAGGGAGGGAGGGAAGATTGAAGGGAGGAAGGAAGGAAGAAGAAAGAAGGATGGAAGAGGGGGAGGGAGGGGGGAAGGAAGGAGGAAGAGGGATGGAAGAGGGGAGGGTGGGAGGGTGGGAGGAAGGAAAGAAGGAAGGAAAGAGAAGGAAGAAGGAAGAAGGAAAAAGGGTGGAAGAGGGGGAGGGAGGGAAGGAAGGAAGGAGGGAGGGAGGAATTAAGGAGAAACCTCCTGACAATGAGGACAATCAACCAGTGGAACAGCGTGCCATGAGAAATCGTGGGTGCTCCATCACTGGAGGTTTTTAAGAAGAGGCTGGACAGTCACTTGTCTGAGATGGCATAGGTTCTCCTGCTTGAGCAGGGGCTGGACTAGAAAACCTCCAAGGTCCCTTCCAGCTCTATTCTATTCTGTTCTGTTCTGTTCCGTTCCATTCCATTCCATATTTTCTATTCTATTCTATTCTATTCTATTCTATTCTATTCTATTCTATTCTATTCTATTCTATTCTATTCTATTTGGAGTCAAATTTGGAGTTGAAAATAAATCAGGCTACCAATTAGACCAGCCTTATATTCTGGGACCGGCATTATACTTCTCACAACAGTGGAACCATTTCCTTGGAATGCAATCTGGATCTTTCCCCTTGCAAGCCACGGATTTATGACTTTTCCAGTGCAGCTTGCATTATTTCTGACCTCTAACCGTCTCTGCTAACGTCCCCTTGACTTACCATCTGTGTGGAGGATGTATTCTGGGGAAAATGGTGCAGTCTTTGTGACGCCAAATAGTGCTGATAATGTTGAGGGACTGGCCTGACCTGGAACTGGTTGTGACCCAGACCGGCGTCAACACTGAGATCCCTAGAAGGACAAAAATCAAAATCAGGAATCCGTAAAATGGACAGAGTGATCCTCCTGGCCTTTGGAGAACTTTCCCTTGTCAAAGTACCTACATTCATTTCCTACCTGCATTGCTAATGGCTAGCCCGGGGGTACACAATCTGGGCTCTTTTATGACTCGTGGACTTCAACTCCCAGAATTCCTGAACCACCTGTGCTGGCTCAGGAATTCTGGGAGTTGAAGTCCACACAAGTCTTGAAGGGGCCAAAGTTTCCCTCATGCTGGCTCAGGAATTCTGGGAGTTGAAGTCCACCAGTCACGAAGGGGCCAAAGTTTCCCTCATGCCGGCTCAGGAATTCTGGGAGTTGAAGTCCACCAGTCATCAAGGGAGCCATAGTTCCCCCACGCTGGCTCAGAAATTCTGGGAGTTGAAGTCCACCAGTCATGAAGGGGCCATACTTCCCCCATGCTGGCTCAGGAATTCTGGGAGTTGAAGTCCATGAGCCATAAAAGAGCCACGGTTGCCTACCCCTGGGCTAGCTGTTAAGAGATCCTGGAGGAAAAGGGGGAAAAGACACCACAGGGTGATCGTCCGATATCCAAGTCTAACAGGAGAGCTAATTTTCCAGAGTTGGAGGAAGTTTTAAGGGCATTTTTAATTTTTTTTATTTATTTATTTTTGCTGTTACACTTCCTTAAGGGGAATCTTAACGTACATGCCTATTCTTAAAAAAAAAAAACACCAAAAGGAGCATAAATGAACCATGAAAACAATGCAAAGAAATTTATTTTTCATAAAGATAAACATAAATCTTCACACCTCTCCTGGATTCTCTTCTGCATCTCCCCAAGAATACATTAGGTGTTTTTCTTTTTTTTCAATCTGTATTTAGCTCTTGGAATTTTAAATTGATTTTATATCTGTAGTTGTTTTTATAGAGTTACAAGAGCCTCGTAATTAGATGGACAGCATATCAATTTAATATTTTCTCTCACACACACACACACACACAAACACACACATATATATATATATATATATATATGTATATGCAGGAGGTTTTTCAGACAGATGTCTAATTGATTACACCTTGACATTTTTTAACTGCTATACTGCAGTTTTACTTTTTACAATCTCTTTTGCCTTGCAGCCCCCAACTAGGGGCGTTAAGCAGGCTCAAGTCGCAACTGTGAAACATTACAAATCCAAATTTGTCAGAAAAAGAAATTTGGATATATATATATATATATATATATATATATATATATATATATATATATATATATATATATATCAGTAAAAAAGGAAGCGATCACCAGGAAATAAAACACCAAGGTTTTAATAAATAAAATCAAGCTTTCGATGGCTAACATCTGCCATCATCGTCAGGATACAAGCCAGCTAATGAGGAAACCTGCTTATAAGCATAGCCACATCTAAACTCTATGCATGGACCTTGTAACAGGTCCAAGTATTTTTGTATATATAAAAATACTTCACACTTTGGAAACTTTGATCTAGAAAACTGTCGACAGGACAATTTAATAATATTTTTTAAAAATGAATGAATGAATGAATGAAAAATAAATACTTCACACTTTGGAAACTTTGATCTAGAATTCTCTAGGCAGGACAAGAAGCAACGGATGGAAACTGACCAAAGAGAGAAGCAATCTGGAACTAAGGAGAAACTTCCTGACAGTGAGGACAATTAACCAGTGGAATGACTTGCCACCAGAAGTTTACGAAGAGACAGGACAGGCATTTGTCTGAAATGGTATAGGGTCTCTTCCCTGAGAAGAGGGTTGGACTAGAAGACCTTCAAGGTCTCTTCTGTTATTCTGTTAGTTTCTAAGATAAATTCAGTTTCTTAGATAAGGAATCTGCCCTCTAGATTATTCAAGCACCCAGAAGCACTGGTAAGTCGCATCAAAATAACAAAAATAGCATTTCAGCCTTGCAATACAGGCTGCTCGCTCTTTGTACAATGGTGTGACATCCAAAGTGATGACGTTGGCAATGGTGCAACTTCATTATTTGTCCCCCTCTCTTAGTCCCCTGGGGAAGCTTTTGTAAGCACTCGTAACTTCTCCTCTTCAAAAAAGTGTCTTTGAGATGAAGAAGAATAGAATAGCAGAGTTGCAAGGGACTGTGGAGGTCATCTAGTCCAACCCCCTGCTCAAGCAGGAGACCCTGTACCATTTCAGACAAATGATTGTAGTAGTAGCAGCAGTAGTAGTAGTAATAGTAATAATAGAGTTGGAAGGGACCCTGGAGGTCTTCTAGTCCAACCCGCTAATCAGGCAGAAAACTCTATACCATTTCAGACAAAGGGCTGTCCAGTCTCTTCTTAAAAACTTCCAGTGTTGGAGCATTCACCGCTTCTGGAGGCAGGTTGTTCCACTGGTTAATTGTTCTCACTGTCAGGAAGTTTCTCCTTGGTTCTAGGTTGCTTCTCTCCTTGGTCAGTTTCCATCTGTTGCATCTTGTCCTTAAAGTTCTTCCATCATGACATCTGATAAGGTCATAGCGGAAGGTTAATAATTAAGGTTCATGCAGTGACATCATAACCCATATGCCATTATGTTAAAATCATAAGGGCATATGTCACAGTCTTCTCCTGCTCGAGCAGGGGGCTAGACTAGAAGACCTCCAAGGTCCCTTCCAGCCCTATTCTATTCTATTCTATTCTATTCTATTCTGTTCTGTTCTATTCTATTCTATTCTATTCTGTAATTCTACTCTATTCTATTCTATTCTATTCTGTAATTTTATTCTATTCTGAATTCTATTCGATTCTATTCTGTAATTCTATTTGATTCTATAATTCTATTCTATTCTATTCCATATTTTCTATTCCATTCCATTCCATTCTATTCTATTTACTCTATTCTGTAATTCTATTCTATTCTATTCTATAACTCTATTCTGTTCTATTCTATTCTATAATTCTATTCTATTCTATTCTATTCTGTAATTCTATTCTACTCTATTCTATTCTGTAATTATTTTCTATTCTGTTCTGTAATTCTATTCTATTCTATTCTGTTCTGTAATTCTACTCTATTCTATTCTATTCTGTAATTTTATTCTATTCTGAATTCTATTCGATTCTATTCTGTAATTCTATTTGATTCTATAATTCTATTCTATTCTATTCTATTCCATATTTTCTATTCCATTCCATTCCATTCTATTTACTCTATTCTGTAATTCTATTCTATTCTATTCTATTCTATAACTCTATTCTGTTCTATTCTATTCTATAATTCTGTTCTATTCTATTCTGTAATTCTATTCTACTCTATTCTATTCTGTAATTATTTTCTATTCTGTTCTGTAATTCTATTCTATTCTGTAATTCTACTCTATTCTATTCTATTCTGTAATTGTATTCTATTCTGTAATTCTATTCGATTCTATTCTGTAATTCTATTTGATTCTATAATTCTATTCTATTCTATTCTATTCTATTCTATTCTATTCTATTCTATTCTATTCTATTCTATTCTATTCTATTCTATTCTATTATCTAATTCAATGAAAATCTCAACTGTATGCTTTTCCTCCCAATCCTTTGGAGTAAAGAATGACTTACCAGTCTGTTCCTTCAGCTAAATACCTCGGTTGGGGGGCCACAGTCCGAGGAGTTTGCAGCTGATGGCCAAATTCAAAGCTTGGATGTAACCGATGAGGTTGGACAGACATGTGCTCCTGAGTCCGCCTGCGAGAGAGAAGGAGAAGAATGAGTGGAGGCACTGCTCACTCTCCGCGTCTTCTCATCGTGTTCTAGATTCCACATCGCTCGGAGAACATCCTGTTTGGATCAGAGTAGGGAAATGGTGTGGGAGGTGAGCAAAGTCTAGATTGTTGGTCTGTCCACGGGGGTGTAATAAATAGAAGGCATGATGGCATTCTGGCCTATGTGACATCATGGTGAATCAAAAGGGTAGAGATGTCATATGCAACATGATGTCATTCCACAAGTGACATATTATGATAATACTGCAAACTAGAATGGAGTAGAACGGAACGGAACAGAACAGAATAGAATGGAATAGAGAAAATGTGGAATGGAGTAGAATGGAATGGAATGGAATGGAAGAGGAGAAGAGAAGAGAAGAGAAGAGAAGAGAAGAGAAGAGAAGAGAAGAGAAGAGAAGAGAAAATATAGAATAGAATAGAATAGAATAGAATAGAATAGAATAGAATAGAATAGAATAGAATAGAATAGAATAGAATAGAATAGAATAGAATAGAATAGAATGTTGCCACAAAAAAGAGGGGGAGTCAAGCTATTCTCCAAAGCCCCTGAAGGCAGGACAAGAAGCAACGGATGGAAACTGACCAAGGAGAGAAGCAACTTGGAACTAAGGAGAAACTTCCTGACAGTTAGAACAATTAACCAGTGGAACAACCTGCCTCCAGAAGCGGTGAATGCTCCAACACTGGAAGTTTTTAAGAAGAGACTGGACAGCCATTTGTCTGAAATGGTAGAGGGTTTCCTGCCTGAGCAGGGGGTTAGACTGGATGACCTCCAAGGTCCCTTCCAACTCTATTTTGATTGATTGATTGATTGATATATTATAGGGTTTCCTGCCTGAGCAGTGGGTTGGACTAGACGACCTCTGAGGTCCCTTCCAACTCTATTTTGATTCACTGATTGATTGATTGAAATAATATAGGGTTTTCTGCCTGAGCAGGGGGTTGGACTAGATGACCTCTAAGGTCCCTTCCAACTCTATTTTGATTCATTGATCAATCAACTGATTGATTGAAATAGTATAGGGTTTCCTGCCTGAGCAGAGAGTTGGACTAGGTGACCTCCAAGGTCCCTTCCAACTCTATTTTAATTCATTGATCGATCAGTTGATGGATTGAAATAGTACAGGGTTTTCTGCCTGAGCAAGGGGTGGGTTGGACTAGATGACCTCCAACGTCCCTTCCAACATTATTATTATTATTATCATCATCATCAAGTCGAGGACTACCTGTGCTGGCAGTCGCCCCCCCTCCCCCAAACCCAGGGCCCCAAGGGGGAGGGGGTGCTCACCTGGGGTGGGATATGATCCTGCGGTGGTGCTGTGCCTCCATGAGCCTCTGCTGGAGAAGATATTGCTGGTGAAGCGCTTGAGGTAGGAACGGAGGTCCCGTCACATCCTGGAATGGCAGGGTGGGTATTGTGGGCAGCGACGAGTGAAGCGGGCTGCTGTGCTGGTGGGGGGCCGGGAGGTGAGGCTGGACGGCGTGAGGCAGGGGGAAGTCTGCGGAGATCTGGGGCTGGGGGGCAAGGTGGAAGTGCCGGCAGGAGGTAGCGTGAGGATGCTGGCTCCTTTGGAAAGGAGCACCTGGAAGGCAAGGCAAGTTGTTCGTTCCACTGAGGGAGACAGCAAGGGAGGAAGGGCATGGAGACCCCACGCGGAAATCCTGCGCACATGAGAGGCGGCAGGTTGAGAGAGAAAATGCCCGGGGGGGGGCTTTAGAATGATTGGACTTCCACTCCCAGAATCCCCCAGCCAGTTTTTCAATCCGGGGATTCCAATCTTGGCAACTTTAGAGCGATTGGACTTCAACTCCCAGAATCCCCCAGCCAGGTTTTCAATCAGGGGATTCCAATCCTGGCAACTTTAGAGCGATTGGACTTCAACTCCCAGAATCCCCCAGCCCGGTTTTCAATCCGGGGATCCCAACTCTGGGAACTTTAGGACCAGTGGACTTCAACTCCCAGAATCCCCCAGCCAGTTTTTCAATCCGTGGACTCCAACCCTGGCAACTTTAGGACTAGTGGACTTCAACTCCCAGAATCCCCCAGCTACGTTTTCAAATGAGGGAGAGGAATATAAATCTTTCCATTCCTCACCATTCAGTCAGAACCTGAAGAAGCTTCTTGGGATGAGAAGCGAAATGCCTTCAAAGAAAAACAAGGAAAAAAGCACCTTTGGGACAACCAGGGCCGGGATGTCGGAGAACCTCCATAGACGACACTTAAAAACTGCAGGCAGTTTGCAAAAAGTGAACCGATTGTTCGCTATGGGTCAGATTTTGCTGGAAACCAGAAGTAAATACTTATTTCGGGGGGGGAGGTTCATAAACCACAGTCACGTGACCGCAGAAGATATTTTGCTTCTCATTCAAGAAGCTTCTTCAGTTCTTCAGATAGTGACAGATTTTATTTTTCTGGGCTCAAAGATCACCTCAGATGGGGACTGCAGCCAAGATATTAAAGACGCTTGCTCCTGGGGAGGAAAGCTATGGCACATCTAGACAGCATACGAAAAAGCAGAGACGTCACCCTGCCAACAAAAGTGCGTATAGTCAAGGCCATGGTTGTGAAAGTTGCACCATAAGAAAGGCTGAGCGCCAAAGAATGGAGGCCTTTGAACTCTGGTGCTGGAGAAGACTCCTGCGAGTCCTCTGGACTGCAAGGTGATCCAACCGGTCAGTCCTGGAGGAGATCAACCCCGACTGCTCTTTAGAAGGCCAGATCCTGAAGTGGAAACTCAAGTCCTTTGGCCACCTGATGAGAAGGAAGGACTCCCTGGAGAAGAGCCTGATGCTGGGAAAGATGGAGGGCAAGAGAAGAAGGGGACGACAGAGAAGGAGGTGGCTGGATGGAATCCCTGAAGCAGGAGGCGTGAGCTTCAATGGACTCCAGAAGATGGCAGAGGACAGGAAGGCCTGGAGGAACGTGGTCCATGGGGTCACGATGGGTCGGACACGACTTCGCAACTAACAACAACAAAGAAGCTTCTTGGATGAAAAGTGAAATCTCTTCAAACAAAACAAAACGAGTCCGGTTGTCCTTTGAAAAAACATCTTCAGGATCTTGCCTCACTTCCACCGCGTCACAACATTCCTGTCCTGTTCACAGCCCACTAAAGATAGTGATAGTGATGCCAAAACATCTGGAATCTACCAGCTGTTGATGGTTCAAGAGAACCTTGACTGCTGTCATGATCCAGAAGAACCACTACGATGGGGTTGATGTACAAACGACCCAATTATCTGGCTGGTCTTAATCTTTGGCAGTTTTACAAGGTTTGTGTAAACTGCCGAGAACTCTTGGGGTGAGTGCCAGGAAATAGGTCATTAATCAAGTCCTGGATTGGTAAATTAATGATATTAACCTTGTCGGTCTACTGGGCTCTTGGCCAACACATGCTCTTTATTGAAATAAATGTGCTTCTGTAAAATAATAACGGCAACAGCGACAACCAGGGGCAAAACCATTTCCACAAAATGTGGTAGGAAATAATAATATTAGTTTTGAGAACAAAGGCGTTTTACTCTGAGCTTTGTCACTTCGTGAAATGAGACGTGAAATGAGACGTTGATGTTTTCATTCTCCCCCATGTATTTGCTAGCTAGAGCAGTGGTTCTCAACCTTTTTAATGCCGCGACCCCCAATCGGTTGTAAGTCGAGGACTACTCAACCGGTCGTAAGTCGAGGACTACTCAACTGGTGCAGTGCCGTTTGCAGAAGGGGACTTTTGGTGGGCTCAGCAGGGCAGAGACAGCCTGGACAATTCCTATTGGCTTTTGAAAGCCTCTATTCTTTCAGACTCTATTCAAGAGAGTCCATTCTATTGGCTTTCAAAGTAGTAGTAGTAGTAGTAGTATTGATAGATGATAGATAGATAGAATGATAGATAGATAGATAGATAGATAGATAGATAGATAGATAGATAGATAGATAGATGAGAGAAGAGAGAGATGAGAGATGAGAGAGAAACAGAAACAGAGACAGAGATGGTATAGGGTTTCCTGCCTGAGCAGAGGGTTGGACTAGATGACCTCCAAGGTCCGTTCCAACTTTATGGATCATCGCACAGTCAGCCAGATGTTCAGACTGGATTTGGCATTTTGTCTACCTATCGAGTCCTTACCCAGGACCTGGAATAGGCAGATGTGGACGTTTGATGGTATCACAGATATCGTCGCAGGATGGAAGCAGTTCCTAGTAAGGCCGCCTTTTGCAATTGACTAATAGCGAATTTGTCAATGCCAATGGTGTTCAAGTGGTGCTCCAGTTGTTTTGGGATTGCACCCAAGGAGCCTATGACTATTGGTACTACCCTTGCTTGCCTTTGCCACAGTCTTTCTATTTCTATTTGTAGGTCTTTGTATTTTGTTCTCTTCTCCAGTTCTTTCTCTTCTATTCTGCTATCTCCAGGCACTGCCCCGTCCACTATCCAGACTTTTTTGTCTTTCTTATCGACAATTGTTCCAACTTTATTATTATTATTATTATTATTATTATTATTATTATTATTATTATTATATTCATTCATTCATTCCAGGGACCAGAAAGATTAACGTCTGCAATGGGGGAAAGAGGGTAGAAGAAAGAAGAGAGCGAGACAGCGATGAATGTCTTTTGCTAATGTCCATCCTCGACAGTTGCAGACAGGAGCACGGACATCACCTGGGAAATCTGACTTCCTTTAAAATCTCACAGCGGTTTCGCTATTTGCCCTAAATTCAGGGACTCAGCATCGGCCAAAGCCTGTGTATTTGAGCACTGTGGGTCTGGGGTCTTCGTCTAGGCCAGTGGTTCTCAACCTGTGGGTCGGGACCCCATTTGGGGTCGAACGACCATTTCACGGGGGTCGCCAAACAACGCAGTCCGCCATTTTTTTCCCCTTTTCCTTAGCTGTGCTACTCCCTTTTATTCTATTGGCTTTGGAAAGCCAATAGAATAGACTCTCTTGAACAGAGTCTCATTCTATTGGCTTTCAAAAGCCAATAGGAATGGTCCAGGCTGTCTCTGCCCTGCTGAGCCCGCCAAAAGTCCCATTCTGCAAACAGTGCTGCACCAGTTGAGTAGTCCTCGATTTGCGACCGGTTGAGTAGTCCTCGACTTACGACTGGTTGGGGTCGCGGCATTAAAAAGGCTGAGAACCACTGGTCTAGGCACCAGCTGCTCCTATTTCTGTGTCGCACTTCCGTCCCAAGAGTCCCACCAGGGGCTCCAGCGCCTGGAAAGACTCCGTGACTCAGCAGGGGACAGCAAAACATCTAAATTTGTCTTCTTTCTGCTCAGACGAGAGACGGAGAAGTCGGTCCTGGGGAAACCGATAGTTCCAGTTCAGTCTGGCGCTTATCACCGCACTGATAACAAGGCAATTGTTTCTGAGTCTAAGCTGAACAGACCCATTAGGAAGTACGCCGATAAAAAGTGACAGATTCGCCAAAATACACACACACACACACACACACACACACACACACACACACACACAAACACACAAAGCACCAAACCTGGAAAGATATAATCTTATAATTGACTACCGCAATCTTGGAAACTTTAAGATTTGTGGACTTGGATTCCCAGAATTCCCCAGCCCTCACCTGGTTGTTTTTCTGAAAAATTATGAAAACAGAATAACAGAGTTGGAAGAGTCCTTGGAGGTCATCTAGTCCAACCCCCTGCTCAGGCAGGAGAACCTATACCATTTCAGACCAATGGCTGTCCAGTCTCTTCTTAAAAACTTCCAGTGTTGGAGCATTCACAACTTCTGGAGGCAGGTTGTTCCACTGGTTAATTGTTCTAACTGTCAGGAAGTTTTTCCTTAGTTCCAGGTTGCTTCTCTCCTTGACTGGTTTCCATCTGTTGCTTCTTGTCCTGTCTTCAGGCACTTTGGAGAATAGCTTGACTCCCTCTTCTTTGGGGCAGCCCCTGAGATATTGGAAGACTGCTATCATGTCCCCCCTCGTCCTTCTCTGAGTTAAACTAGGCGTACCCAATTCCAGCAATTTCTAGGTTGGTTTTCTCCTTATCTAACTGAACTTATTTAAGAACTAAAAAACTAGAGCTGGGCCTGACAGCTATGCCTGGCAGGAAAAATTGTGTGTCCTCCCTCCATTCTTCTTCTCTTTTCACTGTGGGAAAGTTACACTGACTTATATAGAAGGTGTTGAATTAGGAAGCTGTGGAAGGACGGGGCTTTTATTCAATGTGGGGCACAAAATGGCTTTGTCCGCAGGACCAGAGACCACGAATGAAGAGGAATGGACTAGAATAGAATAGAATAGAATAGAACAGAACAGAACAGAATAGAATAGAATAAGGAACAAAATAAGAAACAGAATGGAACGGAACAGAACAGAATAAAATAGAACAAGAATAAGGAACAGAATGGAATGGAATGGAATGGAATGGAATGGAACAGAACAGAACAGAACAGAACAGAATAGAATAGATGAATAGAATAGAATAGAATAGAATAGAATAGAATAGAATAGAATAGAAAATATGGAATGGAATGGAATAGAATAGAATAGAATAGAATAGAATAGAATAGAATAGAATAGAATAGAATAGAATGGAATGGAATGGAATGGAATG